GCCCATTGTTACCCCTGCTGACCTAGCTTATACCCCTGTTACCCCTGCTGACCTAGCTTATACCCCCTGTTACCCCTGCTGACCTAGCTTATACTCTGTTACCCCTGTTGACCTAGCTTATACCCCCTGTTACCCCTGCTGACCTAGCTTATACTCTGTTACCCCTGTTGACCTAGCTTATACCCCCTGTTACCCCTGCTGACCTAGCTTATATCCCCTGTTACCCCTGCTGACCTAGCTTATACCCCCTGTTACCCCTGCTGACCTAGCTTATACCCCCTGTTACCCCTGTTGACCTAGCTTATACTCTGTTACCCCAGCTGACCTAGCTTATACCCCCTGTTACCCCTGCTGACCGAGCTTATACCCCTGTTACCCCTGCTGACCTAGCATATACTCTTTTACAGCAGCTGACCTAGCTTATACCCCCTGTTACCCCTGCTGACCTAGCTTATACTCTGTTACCCCTGCTGACCTAGCTTATACTCTGTTATCCCAGCTGACCTAGCTTATACCCCCTGTTACCCCTGCTAACCTAGCTTATACCCATTGTTACCACTGCTGACCTAGCTTATACCCCCTGTTACCCCTGCTGACCTAGCTTATACCCCCTGTTACCCCTGCTGACCTAGCTTATACTCTGTTACCCCTGTTGACCTAGCTTATACCCCCTGTTACCCCTGCTGACCTAGCTTATATCCCCTGTTACCCCTGCTGACCTAGCTTATACCCTTCTGTTACCCTGCTAACCTAGCTTATACCCCTGTTACCGTGCTACTAGCTATGCCCATGTTACCCTGCTGACCTAGCTTATACCTTAGCTTATATCCCATGTTACCCCTGCTACCTAGCTTATACCCTTGTTATCCCTGCTTACCTAGCTTATACCCCCTGTTACCCCTGCTAGACCTAGCTTATACCATTCTTACCCTGCTGACCTAGCTTATACCCCCTGTTACCCCTGCTGACCTAGTTATACCCCTGTTACCCCTGCTGACCTAGCTTATGCCCCCTGTTACCCCTGCTGACCTAGCTTATACCCAATGTTACCCTGCTGACCTAGCTTACCCCTTTTTCCTCTAGCTGGATACTCTGTCATTAACACTCCTACAAAGAGGTGAATCGCAGATCTAAGAGTGTACGAGTCCTTTACTGCACGTATAAGTTCTGTCAGCACCTATAACTACTGGGAACGCTTGAAGCATACTGTACTCGTTGGAACGCAGGAGGAGAGTTATCAGAATCTTTCACTTGGAAAATCTTGGAAGGAATACGGTCCGAAATCTGAACAGAACACTCTCCTACGAACAGTTAAAAACTGGGCAGGCGATCAAAATGCCGCCATAAAAGTGGGCGCATTGGTACACTAATGAAGAACACCAAATTCCTGGCACCAAAAACTGTCTCACAGCCTCAAAGCATTAGGGAATTGCAATAAACCCTGGCTGCCTTCAAGAGAGGCTGCTAGTACCTAAAAGTCATGTGCCGGATCGCGGCTGTTTGCTCGTACCCTCGACTGCGTGCGGCAAGCAGTAACACCTAGTTGATCAGGCCCTGATCCATCGGGAGGCCTGGTCGTGGACCGGGCCGCGGGGGCGTTGATCCCCGGAATAACCTCCAGGTAACCTCCAGGTAACCCCTGCTGACCTAGCTTATACCCCCCTGTTACCCCTGTTGATCTAGTATATATCACTGTTACCCCTGTTACCTAGCTTATACCCCTCTGTTACCCCTGTTACCTAGCATATATCACTGTTACCCCTGCTGGCCTAGCTTTCTACCCCTTGTTACCCCTGCTGACCTAGCATATATCACTGTTACCCCTGCTGACCTAGCATATATCACTGTTACCCTCCTGACCTAGCATATATCACTGTTAACCCTGCTGACCTAGCGTATGTCACTGTTAACCCTGCTGACCTAGCATATATCACTGTTAACCCTGCTGACCTAGCATATATCACTGTTAGCCTCCTGACCTAGCATATATCACTGTTAACCCTCCTGACCTAGCATATATCACTGTTACCCTTGCTGACCTAGCATATATCACTGTTACCCTTGCTGACCTAGCATATATCACTGTTACCCTCCTGACCTAGCATATATCACTGTTAACCCTGCTGACCTAGCGTATGTCACTGTTAACCCTCCTGACCTAGCATATATCACTGTTAACCCTGCTGACCTAGCGTATATCACTGTTAACCCTGCTGACCTAGCATATATCACTGTTAACCCTGCTGACCTAGCGTATATCACTGTTAACCCTGCTGACCTAGCATATATCACTGTTAACCCTGCCAGGAGTGTGTTATCCCACACTTGTATGTCACATCCAGGGAGAGGGGGGGGGAGGTGACTATGATAAACGGAAAGTAAGAGAGGATGTGATAAAAGTGTACAATCTGAATAAATCAAGGGGATATAAATAACGTGTTGGGGAAAAATGTAACCAAGACAGGACCCGCAACAGTGTATTCAGGTTGGAGAAATTTACATTTAGAAAGGCTGTAGGAAAGTACTGGCTTGGCAGTAGAGTTGTAGATGAATGGGGAAGAAAATAAACTCTTCCGGGAAGCGTCGGGTAGCTTGAAGTACAGGATAGACTGGTACATGAGTGCGGGGGGGGGGGGGGGGCTACTGTGTGAATTGGGCCTGCCTAGCATGGGTCTGGCAAGCCTGCTTCAGTGTTCCTTGTAAATGTGTACTTGGAGGGCACATGGACGTGTTCAGGTGCTGGCTAACAGTACATGACATTAATTACAAGTTTATGTATATATATATATATATATATATATATATATATATGATTGTATATATATATATATATATATATATATATATATATATATATATATATATATATATATATATATATATGTCGTGCCGAATATGTAAAACTGGTCAATTAGCAAGAACTCATTTAAAATTAAGTCCTTACTAAAATATACTCTTATACGTTTAAAGATATATTTTTTTCATTAATGTTGATTTAAAAATTTATAAATTTGCACCAAAGGAACTTAGAAAACTTACCTAACCTTATTATAACAAGAACAATTTATTTTAGCCTAACCCAACTAAATATATTTTAGATTTGTTTACAGTAATTTAATACTAAACAAACACAGTGAAATATATTTTTTTCGTTAGGTTCAGAATGATTTTGGCGAAATTATTGCATACACAAATTTTCACTTGTCCTATATGGCAAAATGAGCGTTGCTATTTAAGCCAAGATCGCAACTTCTGCCTATTCGGCACGACATAATATATATATATATATATATATATATATATATATATATATATATATATATATATATATATATATATATATATAAGAGAGAGAGAATGTGGCCTAAGAGTAGAGCAAGTCTGGTCCAGCCTTTGTTGACATGGTGGAGGGTCTATGACGAGGGAGGGGGAGGGGGGGAGGGGGAGGGGGAGGGAAGGGAATGGCGATTGTCACTCATGGAGGAAACAATGGAATAACGGTGCCATGCAACCCCATCATGGGGGAGGGGGGCGTGGGCACACCCATGTCACACCCATCAAGTACCGCTGCCAAGGTTCAAGATTCTTAAAAAAAAGGAAAACTTATTGCGGTCAAAGATCAAGAATCTTTTTTAGAAAACGGAGCGCGGGAGAGTTCTTAGAGCCTTGAATGTGTCTGCTCACCTGAAAGAGGTGTACAGGAGAGTAGAACTTGAGCACTTCACTACGAAGCAGTGTAGAACTGAATATTTGCTCCTTGTAAAGAAGTTAGAAGCTTCGGTTTTAAGCTGTGAAGCGACTGTGAAGAATCTTGAAGAAACAGTGTGTGTGTCCACAGCCTTGAATGGGGGAAGCACAGCTCTGTTGCGCCTGACATTAAACGGTCTGACAACGAGTGTGCACTCTGAATTACATCAAGGTAAGGGCTGAGAACTTCAAGAAAAACAGACAGATGGAGTTTAATACCCTAACATGAAAAGTATTACTAGTTTTTTTCTGGGATTGAGATAAGAAGCAGTGTTGAGTCAGGTTCCAGTGGACAGTACGAAAGTTTTCTTCTCTAGATCATAACTGCTTTTCGATAACTTTAAATATTTCTTTGATTGTAAACAACTGCGTTACACTTTCTTCGTAAAATATATTGTTTAGTTTTGGTAGCTGTTACTGACTGACTGTCAGAGGTTGAGCAAGATAACGTTTATTGAAAATGGTACAGAATACCGACAAGTTGATGATTAAGACACTTGTGCAGCAGCTGGGTGTCTTTATTGTTGAAACGTTTAACCTACAGTCAATACAGAGGCAGCAGATGTAGTAGTGAGGTGAAGATGATGTAATCAGCCCATCAGCCTTGGAGAAATAGTATTTGAGGTGGTCAGTCCCTCCAGGACTGACCACCTCATATCTCCAAGGTTGATGGACTGATTGCATCATCATCACCTCACCACTACACCTGCTGCCTCTGTATTGACTATATGTGAAATGTTTCGATAATAAAGACACTCAGCTGTTGTACAAGTGTCTTAATCATCAAGGTAACATCTGTTCAGTGACTTATATTCGGTCAAAACGAGTTTCTCAGTACATCTGTAAGCCATGACACCTGTCTTCCTTTGCTGATGATACCAAAATTTGCATGACTGTATCATCCATCGAAGACACTTCAGATCTCCAAGCAGACATTTACCAAGCCTGTCAGTGGGCGTCACAAAACAATATGTAAAAAAATTCTCGTAGTTGGACTTTGCATTCTAACAGTAGGAAGTACCGGATGTGCACTGAAGGAAGTGTGGGCTAGAATTACCCACAATGTTAGGCAAAAGGACACATGTGTAACTAATGCGACATTTTATGTGGCAATGTTTCGCTCTCCAGGAGCTTTATCAAGCGTTAACGGCGTTATTTACACATGTATCCTTATACCTAACATGTTGCTGTTAGGAGGATCATTAGAGCCGTGATGTCCGCGTACATCCCACGAGACAACTGAGGAGTGAGTG